CGGCTAGCGCAGATAGCCCTCGTGTAGCTTTGCGCGAAATTAAAAAAAAACAAACAAAAACAAAACATTATTATAAATATGTTTATAACCAGTTCTGTTCTTTTCAAGTTAAATAATGATTCCACGAGTTAGGGTCACAGAAATAACAAGAGTGTGTTTTGTCAACAATTTATTAATTTCGGATATTCGCACAAATCTACGCAAAGGGTAAGGCTATCTGCGTTAGCCGTCCCTAATTTTAAACTGGTAAACTAGGGAGAAGGCAGCTAGCCAACTAGTGGATTACTCTAATTGAATGGCAGGATTTGACCGTCACTCTTATAACGCACCCACTGCTCCGAAATGCGAAGCTCGATTTTTCTATAACGTTGCTAGGACCATGAACCCTCAGATTTACAGATAGGCAGGCTAACCACTAGGCCACGCCCGGCGCCTTTGCAAGTGAATTAAATCACTTTAAGTTAATTATATCACATTGAATTTTAATTGTCTTATGCATTTCTCAATCCTTTTTACTTAACCTGTTTTGTTAAATCTATAAATCTCCATTTGTTTCTCGATTCTGTTATTGTTTTCTCGTTATTGTCGTACTTTCTCGTTTTCTTCGGATATCATATATCTTTAGCCAATCAGACTTATATAACTCATTGAGTACTTTAATACTGACACTGATACCTGCCAGGAAAGTATTACGTATTCGCAAAACGTGTTATATAAAAAATGATTTCGAACACAGGGAATGAAATACAGATGAAAACACGTGTACACGATTTTTATTCAGACACTGTAAAGTGAATATGTTTTACTTTTAACTTGGTTACTTGCAGATGAAAAACTTCCACTGTCAGTTGATTGGGGTATTTAGGATAGGGATAGGATCAAAAATAATGGCATACCACAATGTTAAGTGAATGTGTTTTACTTTTAACTTGGTTGCTTGCAGATGAATAACTTCCACTCTCAGTTGATTGAGGTATTTAGGATAGGGATAGGATCAAAAATAATGGCATACCACAATGTTAAGTGAATGTGTTTTACTTTTAACTTCCACTCTCAGTTGATTGAGGTATTTAGGATAGGGATAAGATAAAAAAAATAATGGCATACCACAATGTTAAGAGAATGTGTTTTACTTTTAACTTGGTTGCTTGCAGATGAATAACTTCCACTCTCAGTTGATTGAGGTATTTAGGATAGGGATAGGATCAAAAATAATGGCATACCACAATGTTAAGTGAATGTGTTTTACTTTTAACTTGGTTGCTTGCAGATGAATAACTTCCACTGTCAGTTGATTGAGGTATTTAGCAAGTTCAACCAAAAACGTCCACAAAGGATAAGGATAGGATAAAAAAATAATGGCATACCACAATGTTAAGTCAGATAATTTGTCCTAGCGTGTTATCTCACTATCCTTAGATTACCTACATTAACGATCATTCTCATTAAACATATTCAAGGGCAGATAAACCGTCAGATCGTACTAACTTGTACAAGTTAGCACTACTCCTTCGAATGAGTATGCAAATTTTTGCACAAAGTTATATCCTCGAAAAAAGATGATATCTTACAACCAAAACTGCTTTTATTGCACCTAATAATCAATTCGCAGTAAACCCAAACTCAAACATCAATTTTAAGCAACCACTTTTAGAGACGTTTCATAAGGTAAACTGATGTTTTCTTTGTCAATAACTTATTTACCTTTTTTGACTGAAGTATGTGAAATATATATTTCACATTTACAAAATTAAGAAATAATTCTACAGCTATGACTTGAAACTTTCAATATCATTCGAGATCAATGTAAGTTCAGTCCTAGGTGCTAACTTATTTAGTATGATATAATCGTGGAAGTTATTTACTATTTCGTGCAATACTTTTATGGAGTATTACATTACCCTATAAATGCGAGACTACTTTACCATTGCGATATGGAGTAAAGATACTTCCAAATCCTTGCAATACAATTTTCATTAGTTTCGTTGAAACATAGTATCGTCTAAATGTTAAACAACATATTGTTACGCTATAATAGTAACATTCAGTGTCGACTTCTTTCTACTACTACTTCTCATTTATCTACTGGCAAAATTTACTTCCACAAAGATACTATATTATGAAAAAACTTCCTAAATTATTTTACCATTAAGCTTGGCTAGCTAAAATTTGATAAGTAATCCTAAGTTTATGTAGGTAAGATAAACAGGCAAATTCAACAGTTTAAGGATGTAACTGCTTTGAGGAACCTCTTGCATATTCTGCCAAACGGTAGAACCTTATCTAGAAATGAAGAAATGCATGAATAACATAAGGGTATAATTTCGCCATAGAATAATAAAAAGGTATAGTTTCGTCCTAGAATGTTTGTTTAAGCACAAAGCTACACAATGGGCTATCTGTGCTCTGCCCACCACGGGTATCGAAACCCGGATTCTAGCATTGTAATTCCGCAGACATACCGCTGTGCCACTGGGAGGCGTCCTAGAATGGCGTCCTAAATTTTCGTGTTACAATAACGTAAGGGTACAGTTTTGTCCTATAATGACACAGGGGTATATTTTGGTCCTAGATAGACAAGAGCACACTTTCATTTTAGAATAATACAAGGGTAAACATCTGTCCCCTACTAGCAAACTGGTCTACATTTTCGCCCTATAATGACACAGGGGTACAGTTTCGTTCTCGAACAACAAACAAGTATACTGTTTCGCCCTGGTTTGGTTTGGTTTGATTTGGTTTGTTTTGAATTTCGCGCAAAGCTACACGAGGGCTATCTGCCCTAGCAGTCCCTAATTTAACAGTGTAAGACTAGAGGGAAGGCAGCTAGTCATCACCACCCACCAGCTACTCTTGGGCTACTCTTTTACCAACGAATAGTGGGATTGACCGTCACATTATAACGTCCCCACGGCTGAAAGGGCGAGCATGTTTGGTGGGACGGGGATTCGAACCCGCGACCCTCAGATTGCGAGTCGAGCGCCCTAATCACCTGGCCATGCCGGGCCCGGCATTTAGGGAACAGCCATTATTTATCTGTGAGAAGAGGTCAGATTATTATGGGGGGACAATATTTCTATGCTAGTAAATCAGAGGCGATTCACCTCTCTGTGAACGATTAAAAAAACGACGCAAGATTTTAAGTGCAAATTCAATTTTTATTATCCATTATATGAATACCCAAGCATGAAATAGAACGTTTGCAACAAATTTTGTGACATTTAACTTTTTTGATTTAACTCGTAAAAGAAAGGAAATGAATATTCCCTATTTTTCATGTTATATGTTTATTTATTTCAAGTGATATGCATAAAGCAAAAAACATCTCAAGCATATACAATATTCCTGACTCTACCTGCAACGATTATATTTCTAAATATGTGACATGGCAAAATAACTCTTTTAAAATTATTCTTATGCTGGTTTAATGAAAAACAAAATCTATATTTTTCCGCGTTAACCAGTAGAGAAATTCTGTAGCTCTTGGTACTTTTGTTTCAGATATTTCTATAAGTATTAAGCATAAATGATAATTTTTATTTCCTACCCTAATTTCGGTATGATACATTAATTATCCATGGCTATAGTATTTATTAAATTGTGCTGTTTTTTAGGGTGAATTGCGTGTTCATTTTAGTGGTGTATGTTTGTCCAAAAAATTTAATATATTATTTTTCTATATTACCAGATGTAATTACTATATTTCAATTTGTTTTTTTTGGGTTGTTCATAAATCACCTATTGTCACTGTGTACATAATACATTTAGGCTTTTTTAGTCTTCTTGTTTATGTGTAATAAGATGTGGTTTGTTTGTTACTAAGCAAACTACACAATGAACTATCTGTATTTTTTCAACCGCTGGTATCGAACGCAGATTTTTAGCATTATAAGCCCTAAGACTTGCCACTAAGTGACCAGGAGGAGAGAAGTAAGAACTTGAAGTTACGAAGATAATCAGTAATGCCAGTTGTGGTTGCACCCTCTGTAGTTGGCATGTTAAACATATTTCTTAAGATATGGCCAATTAATGTTGTGGATCTGTTTGTGGCCAAGTGCCATAATTATAGTTCTAATCAGTGAAATGTGACTATAAACGTTGAGTTTAGAAAATGCATATTTTCAAGTCCACTATCCTGTTGGATATCCTCTGTCATTCAAGTAATTCATTGAATAAAAAACAAAGATGCTTTTAAACACCTGTGTATGGGCAAATGTTATCAGTATCAAAACATGTAAACAGAATAACTGCTATATATATATATATATTAGCAAACTTAATTGAGCAAGCTTTGGTATATAGTTTTTAATTACCAATACTCCAAGTATTTGTGATAAAAATCATGTAAACTGCATTTTTTTTTTACGTAAACTGCAGCTTGCATGATTTTTATCACAAATATTCGCTTATCGGTTTTATGCTATGCCAGCTTTCAGTGTTTCAATCGTAGCTTTTGATAGTTAATTACTTCCACTTTTAGAGAGTGGATTACTCTTCTGTACAAAGAACTGTGCAGAGAAGTCGTAAGAGGTAACTTGAATGTGTGGGAGATTTTAGAAATTCGTCCTACTCTCGCTGAGGAAATAAATACTGTTCTCTTAAATTAGTAAATCAAATTTTGTACATATAATTCAGGAAGTGTGTTGTTTTGGTAATTTTTGACTTTCAATAAAAAAACATTTTAAAAAGTATTTTTACAAAAACATTTACTATTAAATGCAGAAAAAACTTGTCCACGAAGTGATGAAACTCAAGCCACCATTTGCTTATGATCGGCATGTGTATTTTACTGATTTTTCCAAGTAAGTTGTAGTTTACTATTTACATATCATTGTAAAAACATGAACAAATAATATTTTTCTTATCGAATTCAATGTATTTCAAAATGGGAAACTTAAAATGATTAAATCACATTGACATAGCTCAGTTGTTCAAAACAAAAATCGAAAAGAAGCAGTTATAACTATACTAGTTTCTTACATCAATTTTTAAAACTCTAATAATTACTTTTTTGGAGCCTATATAAGACTCGGCCAATTTACATGTGTTTAGGTACATGGAACCTTCTACACAAAACATAATACTAAAAAGATAACTAACTAGATTACGATCAGCTTTTTTACGTCAAATGTCGAAGAAAGATAATTGAAACATAAATCTTTAAGTTAAATCATTAATAACAGAAACACGGAATAATTATAGCATTGAGAATCACACGAACTGATGTCGATATTTTAATTTAAAAAATTCGTTAATTACCAACTAATGAAAAAGTACATCCAACTTCAATGTTTCATTGCTTTCTATTTCCTTTTCTTCTCTCTATAAAACTGTGTGCAGGTTTGTCTATCTGTCTATGTTTTCCTATTTTGTAAAAACTGATTAATGCTTCTTTACAAATCTTGTCAAATTGATTTTTTAGCATTCTACTTTAGTCATATGAAATATCTTAATTTTTCCATTTTTAGTTTAAGATTATGTTATATTTTTTATATCTAAACATGTTATGTTTAGATTATGTTTTATTCTCTGCTACGTTAGAAGGGATGGTAGAGTTATAATTTTTCTTTAAGTTAACCAATTATCTGCCCCCCAGTGGCACAGCGGTATGTCTGCGGACTTACAACGCTAAAAACCGAGTTTCGATACCCGTGGTGGGCAGAGCACAGATAGCCCTTGTGTAGCTTTGTGCATAATTAAAAACAAACAAACAAACAAACAAACCAATTATCTGAATATACAATCACGTTTCATTAAAGACTCAGACTAGTTAGTTGCCACAGTAAAATCCGGATAGCTTATTCTACTCATAAAGTTGGCTTAACTGCCTTAAAGCCAAGCATTTCTCAAGAATATAGTTAAGAGTACTGCAAATAGATTAGATGATAGTGATGAGTTTAAGACATAAGACAATGTTTGAAAAAGTGTCGTTTGATCAGATACTATGCGGATGTCACAGTTGAAATATATCCCCAGCAAACGCATAGGATTGGTGACTTTCAGTTAACCTAGTAAACCTGTTGACGGGAGAAAGAGCCTCACAGACGTTGGCGGAGTTGGTCAGACTAGGAGCCAACGATAAGTCTAGATCGGTCCGATCAAATAGAACAACCAAACACAATGCGTAAAACATGGTCCATAAATAAACGGGGCTGTAGGTTGCTCAGATCACCTTAGATTAATTAGCAATCACATTCACAACTTGAGCTCCATTGGAAGGAGGTGAAGCCATACAGTCTTTAAAGCAAAACTGAGGTAAAAGAAACAGTGTTAACAATCAAAGTATTGGTAAAAGCAGGACTGGAGCAACTTTTGTGAAAGTACCACTAATTCAAAGAGTGGTATTAGTGGAAATTATTGTAAGCCACTCATAGGGCTGCTAATGACCCTGGATGAACCGGTTTTATCACACATTAGTTCGCTGTAAATGTAATAACTAAATAAGGTTATTGTATAGATCCAAATCTATCCAATAAGAAATTAGGGACAATAGGGTATATTACAGGGCCTTGCGTAAAATAAGGGTGGGAAAATTGGTCACCTACATTGATGCACTAGTAGGCTTTATATCCAACTCTTCCTAGACGTGTGTAGCAGAAACCAGGAAAACAGAGAAGTAACTTAAACCCTACTAGAGTAGTTGAGATCCTGTTGCATGGTGGTAGTTGCCTTCAGAATTAATTATGAGTTGCATGGTGGTAGTTGCCTTCAGAGAAGTAACTTAAACCATACTAGAGTATTTGAGATCCTGTTGCATGGTGGTAGTTGCTGTTGCATGGTGGTAGTTGCCTTCAGAGAAGTAACTTAAACCCTACTAGAGTAGTTGAGATCCTGTTGCATGGTGGTAGTTGCTGTTGCATGGTAGTAGTTGCTGTTGCATGGTGGTAGTTGCCTTCAGAGAAGTAACTTAAACCCTACTAGAGTATCTGAGATCCTGTTGCATGGTGGTAGTTGCTGTTGCATGGTAGTAGTTGCTGTTGCATGGTGGTAGTTGCCTTCAGAATGAATCATGAGAGTATATCTGTCTAAAGTTTGCATGTAAATTCAAGACTTTAATAATCATGACTTATTTTCTTATGCTACCTCGTGTTTCAATTTGGTTAATGAAAAAATATGTATAGAACTTATTTATTTTTACTTAATGTGTTATAAAACCTGTGAAGCGCTTAAAATGATGCAAAAAGCATAATACATGCTCAGTCTATCTCGAAACGTTATCTTTAAAAAAACGTGGATGTGCTTCACAATAAACACATAAAACTTTTTTTTGTTCTTGAGCTTTAAAATGTTGGTTACACATGAGCTGGTACAAAAAAACTTATAAGTTTCCTCTTCCCGACAGAGGAAGATTTATGATATATTTTCATTCTTATGTTCGTGAGTCAAGTGTGTATTGTGTTCCTTGTGATTTTGTATTCATAACACATTCCAGTCATACGGTAAGCTTCCCCTTTTATAAAATGTTTCGCAATAATGATTCACATACATATATACGTAAAGAAGTATATTTTTCATTGTTATGCGTTACTAAGGGCACATATGAAACATGGGGAAACGAGGGGAATGCATAACGATATATTTCAACCCCCCAAAGGATTGAGATCTCTCCAATAACTTTCTATAATTAAGTATATATAAACTTGAGAGTCACAACAATGATCCCCAACGGAGCTCAGCGGTAAGTAAATTTCGATTCTCGCTGTGGGCAGAGCACAAATAGCCCCTTGTGTAGCTTTTTGCTTAAAAACAAATTCACAAAAGATGACCTAAAGTATGAACATATTCCAGTAAAGTTACCCTCAAAATTCATTTTGCGGAATGTTAAACTTCATTGTATAATTCTATAAAATATTTTAATTTAGGATCCACGCGAAGTATATGCCAATGAAAGTTGTTTTATCTTGAATTACATAAGAGTTTCTATTAATCATGAGATTTTTTCCAGTATAACCTTGTGCTTTATTGGCAAATCATCGAACATCCTTTCTTATGGTATTATTTTAAGTGTTTCAAAAATATACTTACCAATATATTACGAATTATATGATGTAGTTTATTAACAGTGCTCTTAAAACTTATATATATATATATGAACAAATATAGAATGATCATAAATTTATTATTATTTTTAAAACTTTCTTCACCAATCCTCTCTGTTGTAATTTCATTTTTCCCAGATTCGGCTACCAAAACCCTTTGTACATCAACACTATGCGAGACCCTGTAGAGAAGATTATCTCCCGGTTTTTCTATTGGAGATCACCTGGTTTATCTATCTTCGAAGAACTAAAGTCGGCTGGAAAAGTACATTCCAACAAAAGTCACTGGCTATCAAAAGTAAGCAAACACCTACGATACATATTCTTCTAAGATATAACAGGTGCAGACTAACATTCCTTCTTTTATTTTTGAAGTCAGAGGGTAGTTATGGCTCGTGTTATTTGTGAGCTTTCTTAATATATGTAATGCATCGAGTGATACTATAGAAGGTGATTTCCTTTTAGTTTTTGAGGCATTTGTTGTAAAGTAAATTTATTTATTTATTCATAAATTTGGTTTTAAAATAATGAATTTTACATTACTGCGTGTCATTCTTTTGTTTTGTTCTATTGAAATTCCACCCAGTCTATTTCAGAATTTAACAATGGATTTTTATTATCAGAAAACGATTATCAACTTGCATTATTACATTGGTAAATTAATATATATATAGTAGTATGTTAATTAAACCAATAGTATAAGAGGTAAGAAAGTAATGTTTGTCATGTTTCTTTGCCCTAGTGACTGTAAAATGTAAAAAAAAAAACAAGCAAAAGAACGCTTATTTTGGATGTTGTACAGTTACGTTTTTTTTATTTTCTGGTATCATCTATTATTGTTTGTTTGTTTGAGAACAAAGTCATAGTAGGCTATCTGCTGTGTCCGCCGCGGGGAATCGAATCCCGGATTTTAACGTTGTACTTTCATAGACTTACTGCTGTCCCACTAAAGGACATCATCCATGATCTTGAATATGATGTGTATAAAAACTACATTATATTTTTGTTATAAGAGACTATTGACAATGAAATATTATTACTTACTTTGTTCAAGAAACCAAATATATGTATATACATACTTAAACTCCATATGTATATAAAGATATATATATTTTTCTATCAGCTACGTGAATCAATTGGTTATTCACATGTCGTATATTGAAGTAAGTGTATATAAAGGATCATTTCCAAAAATAAAAAGAGGTGAACGGGGACACTGTGTTTGATTCAGTACATGAGTGATATCTCAGCAAATAGAAAATATATGAGGTTCTTGTTTTATATTCTAGCTTGTCAATATCGGTAATTTGAGTTCCTAATTCTTGCGAAACTATAGACTTTGTATTTGGACATCACAAACATATAATTTGAACCAGTGCTGCATTCAACATACCACGTGACACACAAAAATCGACGTTTAACTGTGTATATTTAATATTTATTTTTAAATTAAGAAATTGAATAATGTATAATACTAAACTTTGAATTATAATCTACAGCTTCATACCAAACTTATTGATATAAATTCATGAAATAGTAGTTCAATTAAATTTTGAATGCGAGTCAACAAACGCGATGACATGGCCTTTGATCCGTGACCCATCTGTGGAGGGTTAATGTATAGCTACTTAAAACTATTTCGTTTTAAGTATATCCTATCATATTTTAGTCATGTTGAACTCATACCTATGTATAACATTTTTCATTAAAATCACGTAATACCACAGATTCGTGCGTGTTTATCAGTTTTCATATTTTGTCATTTTATTGTCACCGAATGAAGAAACGACGGTTTATAGTTCATGACACACAAAATATTAAAGTTGAAAAATGAATTCGGATTAATTAAATTACTAAAGTTAATAAAATATATCGTTCTTTTTAGAAAATAAAATCAGATAATTTAATAGTGATAGGTGAAACAGTGGAGATTTAACTGGCAAAACAGATAAATCATGGTTCAGTAAGATTAGTAGTTTGAACGAGGGTATAAGCAAATTAAACAAAGAATAACATGGCAGCGTGATACACGCAGAAACATTAAGCTGGGTAGGCATCATATTCCTTTTGTGTTTAATTCAAAAGTGATGCTACGATTTATGTATATGCTCAAGTATTCAAAAACTACATTATCACGTTATTGGGAACATTTTACAAGTATTCAAAACTACATTATCACGTTATCGGGAACATTTTACAAGTATTCAAAGCTACATTATCACGTTATCGGGAACATTTTAGTATTTTTTTGTTTTCAGAATTTTAGTATACAGTTTTAGGGAAATTAGGTGAATTTTTTTTTAGTTATCTAAAGATTTACGATATGTTAAAATTAATAATCTTTGAAATCAGATAACAGAAGCACGATTTGTATACAAACATTACATCTTCAGACTAACAGTCTTGATATATTCTCAAGATAAAACAAGATGTTTTAGAGACGTAATGAAAAACTTAAATACAATAAAATTTATGCTCTAGCTGAATGAGTTGTTTTCAGAACAATAGAATAATAAAAAGGGCTAAACATTTCAACAGCGCATTAATAATATTGGTGGTTGCTATATGACATCATATAAGAGTTCTGTAGATTCAGCATAAGCTAATTGTTGTATGCATATAGAACTCCAAGTCTTTTACCTGTAATAAATTATCTGTTTTGCATTATGTTATATTTAAGGCATTTACATTTGTTCTGTTCTATGTGTTTAGAATTTTGAACAGTGTGTGCTTACACATGATCCAGAATGCACATTTATAACCGGACAACCTTACGATCTTGCCATTCCTTATTTCTGTGGCCATGAAGAGGAGTGCATGTGAGTAAACCAAGATAAATACATTTGTTAACAGACTAAAAAAATATCAAATTCAATTATTTTATATTTAGTGTAGATGAGAAAGCACGTTGTATGACTTGGATATTGTTTATACATTAATAAATACTCATGAGCTCATATCTTGAAAACTACAACAGGTATGATTTTATGACGTATATACCTAAAAAAGTTAAAGTTTATGCACTGTCTATTCCATATGTATTCATGCTTAAATACAGTTAAAATTAATGGTCTTCAAGCTGATGTTGATGATGTTTTCAGATTGAGGGTATAATTCCGATACAAACTGTAGTTTTCTATCACGTTTCAAAAACGTATGATCCGTTGCTTCCTAGCAGGTAAAAGCAAATATTTTATCGTTTTTACATCGTGGTAAAACAAATATATTATAATTTCCATAAGTTAACATATATAATGTATTTAACTACCTTTTTTTTTTTTTGTAGTTTACTAACAAATATTATCCAATTGTATAAATTACTTCAAAATCATTCAGATTACTTCAAAATCCCTGGAATAAGCTTATAAATTAATGAACAATGACTTCATTCCAGGTTTTTAAACAATAAGGCTGCTCTGAAACTGGCTAAACGGAATGTTTTGAAACATTATACCGTAGTGGGGATCTTAGAAGAAATGAACAAAACACTGAAGGTGTTGGAAGCTCGTATTCCCCAGTTTTTCAGGGGTATTTCTACGTTATACAGCATTAAACGTAAGTACATCACAAGCTTGAACTTCATAAAGATTATAATCACTGTTATATTACATCTGGTCAAAAACACCTTAGGTGTGAAAAAAAGGTGCGGCCAAAAAAGGATTGAGCGTGCGACTTAAACGAATAAAATCACAATTGGAGGCCAAACTGGTAGCTACACTTGATTTTTGATTAGATATCATGACTTTTTGTCAATACAAACGAACAAATCACAGCAAGCTAGAAAGTGATACTCGATAGTAACCAACATTAGCTTTAGGATCACAACCCTATTATTTGGAACAGACCTATACTTTACAGAACCAACTAGTTTCTTTAAAATATATGGTGGCAGTTTTCCTCTCTAAAACAGTGTTAATAACTTCCTTTATAGTAACGCCATAAAATCTAGATTAATAGTTTCATGTCATCATCCCATGCAATCGGTACAGCCGTATCAAGCATCATTATTTATGCTAATTGCTTAAGCTAATATCACATGACACTAAATGTTCTTTAATTAGGATAATTTCATAAAATTTAGCAAATTTGTGCTTAAAAGTTGGCAATGAATAATGAATAATAACCGTCCACCCGTATGATTCTTTTGAAAACTTGAGCTAGAAACTGAAAAAAAGTCCACCTTTGCTCTTAGTTGAAGCTGTGGTAAACATTTGAGGCCAATAGCTCACGTTACTTTCTGCATAACCGTGCGCAAAAAGTTTGGTCAAATTTGAGCGGTTTTTGTTGAATAACTTTACATATGTGACTTATGTTTAGACCAAAGTTGGCATCTACTTGTAGGTTGTAAAGATCTATCAGTGTACCAAATTTGAAAAAATACATGAAAGGTAAATATGTTTTTCTATCAAATAAAGTTTCCGTTCTGTCTATGTGAAGAACAAAAACTAGGAAGAAATTCAATCAAAATTGGAGATTTTAATCTCATGTATTTCTTAATGGATTGCCTTGAAATTTGAAGTATGTGAAGTAGGGATACAGTAGAGCATATCCATTGAAAATATGTGATAGTTTGGATTACCAAAGTCCGAGCTACAGAAGGTGGAAAATTGTTAAACTATCATGCCTGTTAATAACACACAGTGTGCCCTGCAGGTTGTTTTGGTCGCACGACACACTACCGTGTGTCTTGATTTCAAACTTACGTTCCTTATGTGTATTTATCGTACATACCGTATGATTCTAATCTCTTTAGCTTGGGGCTCCCAAAACTTTAAACACTCCAGCTAGGGATAATGAAGGACCTTAACTCAATGACTTAATAGAATTTATAAATAATCGCCTCTCTGAGGTGCCTTACTTTCGTTGAAAATATATCTCAAGCATAAACATAATTTAGTAGTCATATTTTTTTTGCAATAAATTAAATTATTGCTTATAATATTTCTTTGTCGTGTCAATGTCGTCGTCTTTATCAATGTGATAAATGTTTAATTCATTAAGCAATATTTTTGATAGGATGATATTTAATACATATAGGCTGATTTAGTTAGTTAAAAGTGTGTTTTCAAAACTCGTTAAAAACCATTTATAATCAGCTTTGAGTTGTTCAACAACATCTGGAAAAATTAGAAGGTTGACTATATTCGATTGGCGAGCATTTATTTTCACGTTATAAAGATATGTTCTTTGATATTTTGGTATTTTTCAAACGGAATGGAATTTTATGTAACAAATAAGCTAAACAGCCAGATAGAAAATGCTAAAGTTCAGGAATAGCTGTCCCTCCCTAATTTGAGAGAAGGCATTCAGTTAACTTCACTCTTCGCCTACACTACTCGTAATCAAATAACAGAATTAAATGTCACAATTACAACGCTTCCTCAACTATGTATCGAGTGGTCCAAGGTTCGAGACATGATACTATTTTATAAGCTCCAAACTTTTTTAATGTAGATGCGTTTATAAAAGTGATAGTCAAGCCCATATTTAATTCAATGAGCCAAACAAAGTCCTTGTAGATGTGGGTGTTTCTGGTTGGTTGGTCGATATTCCTCTGATCAACATTTTAAAAATTAGAGACTTAGTATCTAACCTAGCCGTTTAGTCCATGTGCGCATAAAGTTCCGTTCTTTTAAAAAATCGCAATTACAATTTCTACATGTGGAGAAACTCTCGTTTAATATTATTATATGCATAGATCATATTACACATATATTCCCGGCTGTTCTTTTTTATTATTATTAGAAAAAAAACTGGAAACGCAAACTTTTAATTGCGGATCCAGTATGTATTTAGCAACATGAAGTACCAGACTCTACAAAACAAAAATCTAGCGCTAGACATTCCGTCATCAGGCGGGTGGTTTATCCCATTTTTCAACTAAGCGACTTCTTAATATCGTGAAAGACAAAATTATTTATTGGGCTACTGCAGCAAACAGTCCACAATAACCTATATATATTTGTTTCATTTCATTATAATCATGTTAAAAGCTGGTCGTCGACAGTTTACACATGTAAATATTCACCTGTTAAATAATGAAATTATGTTTATAACATATAAAATCCACTCAAAATTATTTATTGGGCTACTGCAGCAAACAGTCCACAATAACCTATATATATTATAATCATGTTAAAAGCTGGTCGTTGACAGTTTACACATGTAAATATTCACCTGTTAAATAATGAAATTATGCTTATAACATATAAAATCCACTCAAAATTATTTTAGCTGTAAGTCATTGTCCTTGAGAGATAAAAGAAAAAATAGTTTGTTTGTTATGGATTTCACGCAAAGCTACACGAGGACTATCTGCGCTAGCCGTCCCTAATTTAGCAGTGAAAGACTTGAGGGAAGGCAGCTAGTCATCACCACCCACCGCCAACTCTTAGGCTATTCTTTTACCAACGAATAGTGGATTGACCGTCGCATTATAACACTCCCACGGCTGAAAGGGCGAGCATGTTTGATGTGACGGAGATTCGAACCCGCGACCCGCAGAATTGCGAGTCGAGCACCCTAACCACCGGGCCGAGAAAAAATAGAACCTTATGAAACTAAAATCTATAGGCGAGCAATCATAATAGAAAGAAGATACTAGCGAATCACTCGATTTATATCGATATATTTGTGTTACAGAAACAAAACTTTTGTTGGGTTGACCGTTTCAACTTAATATATATTGTAGTACACAAGATATCCATCAAAAATAAAACATCCAAAGAGATATTATACTTATGAATGGAAAGAAAGTCACGAGAATATTTTTGTGGTAAGTATTTTGTTTATATGCATATTTAAGATTAAAGATTGTTGTGACAAAGGTTATTGTGATTCTCTATAATTCTACATAGCTTTTCTTAACATTTAAAATAAAATCTTTAGTTTCATTGTGTTTGTTTTGAATTTCACACAAAGCTACACGAGGACTATCTGCGCTAGCCGTCCCTAATTTAGCAGTGGGAAGGCAGCTAGTCATCACCAGCCACCGCCAACTCTTGGGCTACTTTTTTACCCACGAATAGTGGGTTTGACGGTCACATT